CTAAAATGAGCAGCAGTCAACATTGGCAAACTGTCAGATGGAGCCTCTAGTCAATGACAGGGAATTCTTAGACTTTAGTTACTCCCCTCCCTGCCCTTGAGCCCAAGCATAGCTGGAAATATTATATCTCCTTTCTCAGTTCAAGTCCGGGTCCAGTTCAAGTCAGTGTTTTGATAATCCAACCACCCAAAGTAGAAAATCTTTTGACACTTAGGGAGTAACATTTTTATTCAGAGTGGCGCCACCTAGAGCCATTTTCAATATTAGTCCTGACCCTAGAAAGAGAGATAGCCAAGGCAGCTGATAGCTTTGAAGTTTTTCTCCCAACTGGTACTGGAACCAGGAGGTGTCTAAATCTGGAGGAGGGGGAGGAGCAAAAAAACTACACAATGCAATACATGGCAAGGTACGCTAGTTTATTAACTTAGAATTTAATATGTGTCTTCCAGATGTACTTTTCATTGTAGCATATGGATTGTGAGATCAGGCCTGACAGATTATCAGGTCCAGCATTCTATGTTACACACATCAATGAAGATTTTGTCATACAGGTAAGAGTTGTCTGGTAGTCAAGTCATGGGAACTGGACTTCTTTTCTTGTTAGTTTGAAACATTTCGCTGCCTAACCAAATAGCTTCTTCTGTGTTACACAGCGGCTGAGCAAATGCATATAGGGAACTCACCAATAGGATATAATAGAAGCCCACTTCTACTGCTGTCCTTGAACAATTGACATTATAGTCCGAAAGGTGCTTTTTCAAGAGGCAACTCAACTTTCTGGTTTTTCTTTGAAGACATTTTGCTTGTCATCTAAGAAGCTTCTTTGGCTCTGAAGAGTTGCCAGTTGCCTCTGGGAAAAGCACCTTTGGGACACCATGATCTGGATGACTGACAATCTCCATTGACAATTAACATTATAGTTCTTTTGATGTAATATTAAACTATCAAGTCAGTAACCAATTATAGGACTATACAGCTATGTACCATTCTTTTGAAAACTTTTTAATTGGTGGTCATTACTACATCTGATGCAACTGAATTCTTTAGTTTAGTTCATTGAATTCCTGCTCAGAGAAGGATAGAGTAGATGCTTTCCAAGATCCCTTCCAATCCTTACATTCTATGATCCATTGAATATGATTGTATCAATAGGAATGTACAATGTTTTGAAGTTTAAAGTGAAACAATAAGGTACTTTATTAAACAAGTGAGTATATGAAATAATTTCAAATAAAACAATAATACAATAATCTTCCTAAATAAAACATATTACTTCATATGCAAAGATTGTTTTAATTTTGAAAAAATAATCTATCACTATGCACATTTTATTGAAATACTTAAGACATTAAAATGAACTATCCTTCAGAATATTTAAGAAAAATCATTTATTTAGCCTGTGCTTATAATGAGTGCAGCATAAGGCCTATGCAAGCAGTTTTGACTTAAACAGACAATGCAAAGTTTATTAAGGAGTGTTATGGAAGTTGTAATCAAGTATAATTAAAGCAGCAATAATTATTTTTCTGGCTTCTGGTGTGCCAGTTGTTTTAAGATATTCTACATTTCTGGCATTTCCATGCCAATTCCCACTAAAATAATATTGTTTTTTTTCTGATCATGAAATGAAAAGAATACCATAAGCCAAATACTGTTCATTCTTTCTTTTTCTAGCTCACCAAATAGAAAGTACAAAAACTGTCAGAGGTGTTATATTTAAAAGCCCTATTATTTGTAATGTTGAGATAATAGCAGTATCAATCATTCTGTTTCTCAGCAGCTGTGACTACGCTTGCTTATTGCTTAACATAGATTTGGGGAAATGAGGGGATGAATTCTAATCAGTGCATGCAGAAAAAGATACATTCCAGGAACAAGAAATTGAACTACTAAGTGAAAGAGAAAATCCAGTAGATGGAGTGGTGCAAGACCTTCTTCCAGTAGATCACAAGATTTATAGAGCCACAACAATTAGTAGAAATACCAATTGTCCTGATTTCCAGTAAACCAGAATCAGAAACACATATATTCAGCTTATAAAAATAAAACAAATGGGAGAATCTCATGGTATCAATCAGTTCCTCATTCAATCACAAAGTTGTGCAAGCCACTGATGTGTTTTAGTCGTATTCTAATGAAATTTACTAGCCGAGGAATGGTACAGGGGCACTGCTTAATCAACCAATTCCTGTACTGAAATCTGGCTTGTGCAATAGTGTTTCACATTCATTTTGTCCTGATTTTACCTTTGTCCTTTCCATGCAGCCACTCCAGGCTACTTAAAAACTAACAGAAAGAAAAGCTTAATCAATCATACTTTTTCTTTTAAATTCCCCCAGCCTCTGTTGAGATTGTAACAATACTGCTTTTCTCTGCAATCAATTGAAGGGAAATCTGAAATGTTACCAAGTGACATTTGGCATATTTTAAAAAAATATCTATGATCCATGTGTAAATTGAAAGGGCATTCAGTTCCAGGAAGGGACTCTTGGGATTGGTGAATATTCAGATTATGACAATTGTAGGCCATGGATCAAATCCAAGTTGCTCTTCCATGAACAATTCAATTTTAAAGAAACCAGTTTTCAAATATTCCCATTAAAGTTACACAGGTTTGTTTCTAGTGATATTGGAGGAAGTCATAACAGCAGGAGAAGTTCATGGAGATGTGTGAAATACCAAATAGAAAGCAAAATCATAGGGCACAATTTAAGGCATTGGTGTTTGAAGTTTAATAAGTTCTAATCACTTAAGGCCTGATTATCTCAGTAGCCATCTCTTCCCATCAAGAAGTGCAAAGAAGCCCTTTTGAAGATGCCACTGCTTTCAGAGGTCCATCTTTCCTAAGGCATAGCAGGGCTATTTCATTCCTTCATCCCACACTAAAAAGTAGTGTTGTAATTTATCCAATAGCATCTTTGTTACAGTCATAGGTCTATTATTATAAAAAGCAGGACAAATATCTGGAAGTATGAACATTTGTGCACAAAATGTAAATATAATAAAACAGTAAAATTCACAATGATATTTTAAATGAAATGGTCTTTCCTGTGATACAGGTCCATGTCTAATGATGGCAGTTAAAAAGTCCGGGCCATCAAATCCCCAGTCAGCTCTATAGCAATAGTACAGGACTTAGCTACTTATTTGGGGGGCGGGGAGTAAGGGTGAATCCCAAGTCTTTGCACATCCATGGCCCAAAGAGCAGCTTATGGAGGATAACTTAGAACAGGTAGATAGAATAATAGAGTTGGAAGGGATCTTGGACCTCTTCTAGTCTGACCACGGCTCAAGCAGAAGACCTGTATCGTTTTAGACAAATGGTTGCCCAGTCTCTTTTTGAAAGCCTTCAATGCCAGACCACCCACAACCACCGAGAGCAAGCTATTCCATTGTATTCTGCTTCACAGAAGGCAGGGCAATATATTCCCTATCTAAACCAGCTCAAAGAACACACGTTCTTCAAATACTTTGAAGTATTTGGGTATATCTTAAAACTGTGGTATTTCTTCAACTAAATGGACCCCGGTTCATCTCCAGAACCTTTTCTGCATATCCCATTCAGTGTATGACATCAGTTCAATAAGAATCGAGCTTGGAAGGGATCTTGGAGGTCTTCTAGTCCAGCCCCCTGCTCAAGCAGGAGAACCTATACTATTTCAGATAAGTGGCTGTCCAGTTTCTTCTTAAAAGCGTCCAGTGATGGAGCAGCCACAATTTCTGGTGGCAACCTGTTCCACTGGTTAATTGTCCTCCCTGTTAGGAAGTTTCTCCTTAATTCCAGGTTGTTTCTCTCCTTGATTAGTTTCCATCCATTGTTTCTTGTCTTGCCTTCTAGTGCTTTGGAAAATAAGTCGACCCCCTCTTCTTTGTGACAACCCCTCAAATACTAGAATACTGTTAACGTGTCACCCTAGCCTAATCCTTCTTTTCTCGAGATTAGATGAAACAAGCATATTTTTAACCAACTGCTATTGCTTCTGTTAAAAAGAATGACTAAGAAATTCCTACTTCAGCAATGTTATTAAAATAGTTTTACTTTCAGTTTTACTGCATGGTTTTCAAAAAGCATACTTTAAAATAATTTCCCCTTTTGAACTTTCCTTTTGATCTTTATTTCACAACCAGAAACGAGTCAAATGATGTGTGCAACTATACAAAATGTTCTCCTTGGCTGAAAACCTGTTGCCAGAGGTCAGAGTTCAGATTCTGGGTAGCTAAAATATTCGGGGGTGAAACTTTATGAGTTAGTGAGTTTTTATAGGTTTCATCCAATGATTTCTTCCATTTTTAACTTTTTTTTTTCTGATCAGTTCAGTAAAATGGGAAGGACCATGCTAACACCAGTGTATTTTGACCAGCAGGACGAAGTCTTCTCTGCTTGGCAGCATCCCAGATTTCCGAAGTTCTTCACAAACTACACAACAAAGATCTTTTAAGTAGTAATCTGCTTGGCATTACAGGAAGCTCTTAGAACAACAGCAGTGCAAAAGTGGATTCAGGCTTTATCTGTTTGAGGATGCAGAGACTTGAAGAGTGAAAAAGATCAGGGCTAAACATATACGAAGTATTCTGCCACTGCCTTCCGTTAAACACACACAGAGAGAGGGGGAGAGAGAGAGGGAGGGAGAAAGAGAGAGAGAGCGCGCGCTTTCCAAAAGTGGCGTTCCTAGACAACCAAACCTCTTGCAACACACCGAGGCTTCCTTCACACGACTTTTGGGCGGAGGGGAGAGGGCAGGGGGCTTTCGCGATTTAGGTGAAAATAGGCAGAGTGAGAGACTAATGGACTCCAAATGAAAACCTTCCCGTCCCAGTCATTCGAAGGGAGGCGACCTTCACTTGTGGAACGCCATGCGCGTCAAGCCTACGAGGCGCCAAAAAACAGCAGCTCCACCCAACCTGTCTCCCTGTTCCTTTCCCTGCTTCCGCGCCCTCCCTTTCCTTTCCCTTCCCCGCGAGGGCGGTTCACTCGCCTCTACCCCGCCTTCCCTCGCCTCCTTTGCCTTGCCCGCCTTGCCCCATTTGCTCACAAGCGGCTGAATTTCTTCCGGCGGGCTTCGGGAGATTTGACTGGAGGGCTCGGCGAGGAATCTACGCTGACGCGCGGGAATCACCGGCCGAGCAGGGCGCACCGGGAGGGGGGGCGCCGTGAGTACCCCATAACCCAAATCGCGTGCTTTCGTCCTGGTCCCCCCAGCCTCCAGCAGCAGCAACTGCAGACGGCCACTTTAAAGGAGAAAGGTGCCCCTACATCGCCAATCCCCTAAAAACGATACCAATTTCTGGACAGGGAGGGAGAGAAAAAAAGGGGGTGGCAGACGGAGGTTTGTTTTTTCTTTTTTTACGAATTTGTAGTTTATTGGATGGAGAATGTATAATAAAAATAAGAAAAGCCGCCTCTAGGTGGGTGGTTGCATATTGTGCCCGGAGGTTGTGCCTGCCTCTAACACGCTTCCTCCCTACCCCAAAAATGAATGCCGGGAAGAGAAGCGGGGATGTTTCTTTTTGAGCCGGGGATCCTGTATGAAATGGCGCAGGATGCCACGAGACCCCCTTCGCCGCTTGACTTCTCTGGTAGAAAGGCCCCTTCCAGGGTATTTTAGCGTCCGTTATGCTCTGAACACCGATCTGTTTCAAGGACGCATGGCGAGAAATCGGCGTAAAAGAGGGAGGAAATTTAGGGAGAGGCGAATTTGGAGGCCATTCCGTTTTCATCTCTCTGATTTTGTGTTAAAGGAATGCAAGAGATAAGATTCTTGAATGATGACTTTTTTGGGGGGGGGGGGGCATGCAGAGTTGCATCTGGTTCTAAGCTTGTGCGTTGATGTCTCACGCAGCTAGGAAGTGGAAAATAAAAAGGGCAAAGTCGTTTGCAGGGGCAACCTAGAAAATGAAATATGAAAGCTATAAAATAGCTTTTTTCCCCCTTTCAAAGCACTGGCAGTTGATAAGAGAAGGGCACTGTAGAGGAAAGAACTGGAGAGGCTGGAAGCTGCTGTGCTGGCAGACTCTGTTGCCTATGTTAACATCTGGAAATGACTGGGAAAATGATGAAATATCTCTCTTAAGTTACATGCAAAAGATGGCTGCTCTGGTGAGGAGGCTGCCTCAGCAATAGGCATTGTCCACAGACTAGTCTGTTGCTAGGTTACATCAGGATCTTCCCCCCCTTCCCCTGACATACACATGAACATAAATGCATCTTGTTGATGTTTCTGATCCCCGATTCCCACTGGTGCATATGCTTCTCCTGATGCATTGTGGGGAAGTTAGAGGAAAATCTGCTGAGGCGGTTAAATGGCAGAAAAAGCAGATTTCAATTTTAAAAAATGAAATGACAACATTCTTCCCCCCTCAGCATACAAACATACACACAAAAAGACCCTTGGTGTGTGTAATGATGTGTAGTGCTATCCTTATCTCTCAGCTGTTACCTGGGCTCTGAACTGAGACTGGTTGAGTGATTACACACAGAATAGTTTTGCTCTGGGTTTACATGGGAAATCTAGAACTCCCATCTTCAGAACTCTGAATGATACCTTTACCCAAATTATAAGGATGGTAGATCTGGGAGAGTTTTTTTAAAGATAGCAGGTGCTCTTGGGGCTTTCAGTGAACCTCCAGTAGAAACTGTTGCATATCCCTAATTATCCTTGTGACTGTTTCATGTAACATTTCTAGTGTTACTGAATCATTTATCTGTAACACAATGGCCCAAACTCTTCAGATTAGTAGATTAGGAGTGTTACACCCTTATTTGTTTTTCTCCTTTTGGTTACCCCAGAAATCACTATGGTAACAAGGAAATGTCTCCATGATGAGCTTCAGTCATTACTTCAGTATCTTTCAGTCCACAATTAGCGTATTTAGACTGGTTTAATTTGCCATTCTGCATAATAAAATTTGACTAGGTAAAGGGCCATTATTCATTCCATCCTTGCCCAGTGGACCAGCCTTCCTTTACCATTGGAATTGCAGTTCCTAGAACATATAACCCAATGAAGATGATGATCACATTATTAAACTTCCCCTACAGGTTGCTATAGATTCCTGCAGGCTACTTACAACATCTGGTTCATGCAAAATATATTCTGGTCTTCTGATAGAAAGCCAGTAATACAAGTTTTTTGTAATACAAGTAATACAAGGCTTGCAAAATTTTAATCATCATTATCAACAATAATATCTAAACAGAAAAGTCTGGGTTTCAAATACTGAGTTCATTATTTTCTATTATTCATTATTTTAAAAGAGTGTCAAACTCATATCATCACAGCATCATCATATCGTGACTTTTTCCCCTTTGTTAAACCAGGCATGGGAGTGACCAGTGCTTGACACATCCAGCCTGCAGGCTGCAAGTTTGACAGCAATGGATAATTAATATGCAGAACCTGATTTCAAAAGTTTGCAATATAAAAGCGTATGACATTGGAATTGAATGCTATAGAAAGCAATAGGTGGTTCACACATTCTTTGTTTATATATTACCTTTCTTAAATTCAACAGCATAGGGGTTAACAGAGTTTGCATTCAAGGTGCAGTGCGTCACAACAGATTTCTTATTTATTTTTATTTATTAAACAACTTTATATAACTGCCCAACTCATGCAGGTGACTTTTGGCAGTTTAAAAAATTTAAAAATTCCACCATGTAATTAAAAAAAACTCCACCCTACCTCCTCCCCTGGCAGCAACAACACAATCAAACCAGCCATTTGATTGGCTCCATCTCCTTTCCTGGTCCTCAGACATGCTGACAAAACTACATTTAAAGGGCTTTTTGGAAAGAAGGGGCCACCACTGAGAAGGACCTTTTCCTTAGCCCTCATACACAGGTCACAAAACAGTACTGTTTAGTTGAACAAGCAAACATAAATAAAGAAATTTGGGGCTTAGAGGAGGTGGGGAAATTAGTGATAAATGCAACATACTGAAAATGAAATGCAAAATGAAATTCCATGAGTAGATGGAAAGCCCCAAGATTAGTAAGAGCTGGAGGGAGGAAGAGAATGAAAAGAGGAAATACATTTGGAAAAATTGAGAGCTTCAGAGCTCCTGAGAGGATAAGAAAGTGTTTGGAAATAATAACAAGTCACAAAAATAATGCATATTGAACTAGCAGGAGATACTGGTAAATATTTTTGACCCTCATTATGTGCCACATTACTGTGCAAAAATAATGTTTTCATTTTTTAAAAATAACTTTATTAAAAGTTACAAAAATGAAAATAAAAAATACAAAGTAATATAAAATTAAAAAAATTAAATAAAGAAATTAAAGAGAAAGTTAAAAGTGCAAAAAAAGTAAAAGAAAAATAGAAAAGAAACAAATTGCTTCCAGCCTTCTTTACAGTTATAAATATTAGTAGAGTTATAAGTATCTCTTTATCTAAAGTTACAATATGATTCTCTTCTTTCTAAAACTATCCTGTCTAATCATCAAAATCCTAAGTCTTTTTTCCCTTCTTTATGCAAAAAAATTCCCCAGCCAGCATGTCAACCACACATGATAAAATGTCCCTTCTTGTTGTTGACATTTCCATCATCAATTCAAAGACCTTTGTATATTCTAGACAATTTATCTGGTGTCATATAACAATGGTGCATTATTTTATAGAATATCTCTAAGATTGCAACAAAGTGTATAATCTCTTGTTTTTGTTTTGATAAAATTCTAGTATCTCACAATAACTTAACCATTTGTGTTTAGCTATTATTTCTCTTCTATAAAATGCTTCTTCTGTTGAGAACCACAAAGGTGTTTTAGGGCACAACCTTGGTTCTATCTATTCTATATTTTCAATATGGCATGTCTAATATAATGATTTTTTTAAAAAACACATTAACTTGACTTTATCATATTGCAAATACCCATGCATCCAAATTTCAAGTCATGTCTTTATAATTCCAAAAATACCTCTATTTCTCAGCAGAAAAAAATATATTTTTGGGTACCAGTTGGTCTTGCTGATGTACATTCCATGCATACGAAACTACAGATCACCTAAAAGAAAATCCAAGATCTTTTACAAAAAAAAAAAAAGAATTTTGCAAATGAATTTATGTAATTTTCTTATGAGACCAATCACCTGATTTGCAAAATATCATATGCATGCATCCAAATTCTTTGAAAATGCTGTTTCACAAAAGATGGGACATAAATCATTTATTTTGATATTGTTAAGGGTTTTTTTTCCAGTTTGCATGGCAGCTTCCAGCCCTTCTCTTACCTCTCTCCACATACCTCTAGTAAGAACACTATTACTAGAATATTATGTATCTCATATGCTTCTACAATGAATGCAATATTTGTCTGCTATCAATTTCTGTGGGTGCGTATAGAGTGTACATGTATTACAGAAGTTAGTAGACTATGTTCACATGTATAACTTCATTTAGGGTCTCTTCATTTTGCTACTTTCACAAGCACTCAGTGAAAGGAACACTTCAATGTTCCTTTGGGTGGAAGGATGGAGGGATGGGATGGGATGGGATGGATATATGCATCAATTGATGTATGTTCATAATTTCTAAAAAGTAATTGTGTGGGAACATCAAAAAGTTCAATCTAATTCTATTTTAAAAAGTGTTGCTACATGAAGCTTACAATTTCTTTCATTATAGAGACATTATTGATCTATAAATGAGGTTTAAAATCTTATTATTTATTACTTCTTTCTCCATTACATTTTTTGCTGGACTTTGCTAAAGATTTGTCTTTTATTTTTATATTTATTTATTTTTGCTATATCTCCCTCCCTCTCTCTCTATAATGCATTTATAATATACCCCATTTACTATATAGATAATAGATAGAGAAAGGCCTGCTGTCAATTTATCCTCATAGCAGTACTGTGAAATAGACAGAGCACAAACTGAATGTCTGGTTCAAATCTTTGCATGAGTTTCTGGATTTAAGTAGAAAGTAAAACTGAAACTACAAGGTCCAATCATTACATGGCATCCTAAGGATTGCATTGTATATCCTTCCCTCGAAGCTCTTCTACTGCTGATCATTCCTAGAATTGAACGGAGGAAGAAAGTATGCAATTACGCCTTTTCTTGCATAGTCTTTTTAGCAATAAGAATACTTAGACTTATTTATTTATTTATTTTGTCAAACAATTATTAGATAACAGGTATAAGTATAAACAGGGTTATAAATATATGAAATGGATATGAATAAGAAAAAAAGAAACAATAGAACAGGGATGGTAGGCACATTTTCGTGTGCTTATGCACACCCCTACAGACCTCTTAGGAAAGGGATGAGGTCAATAGTAGACAGTCTAATGTTGAAGATTTTGGGGGTTGGGGAAGAAACCACAGTGTCGGGTAGAGTATTCCAGACACTGACTACTCTGTTGCTGAAGTCGTATTTCTTGCAATCAAGTTTGGTGTGGTTTATCTTTAGTTTGTATCTATTTAGTGCTCTTGTATTGTTTTGGTTGAAGCTGAAATATTCATTGATAGGACATTGCAATATATAATTTTATATACTATACTTAGATTGAATATATAATTGTTGTTATTATTATTATTATTATTAGTTACCTTTATTGTCAGAGTACAACATGTGTTCAATGTGATTGGCTGAGTGTCCCTTCATGCACACACACACACACCCAACATAACTCACAGTGAGGACAGAAGTCCCTAATCCAGTCCCAATCTTATTACACTATGTGACCTTGTTACACAATGCACCGTCCCCACAAGTCTATCATACTATGTTGACATGAAGTTATTTTCCATTCAGAAGTCTGACAGCCGACGGGTAGAAACTGTTCTTCAGCCTGTTGCTATGGCTGGCTATGCTTCTATATCTCCTACCCGATGGTAGGAGAGTGAAGAAGTGCTGACCGGGATGTGAGTCATCCTTGAGAATTTTCCTCACTCTTCTAAGGCAGCAAGCCCTAGCAATGTCATCTAGTGGTATCAGGGAATAGCCCACACACCGCTTCACGGGGCTTTACAGCCCTTTCTAAGCGGTTTATAGAGTCAGCCTTTTGCCCCCAACAATCTGGGTGCTCATGACCTTGGAAGGATGGAAGGCTGAGTCAACCTTGGGCTGGTCATGATTGACCTCCTGGCAGTCAGCAGAATTAGCCTGCAATACTGTCTTCTAACCATTTTGCCAGCACAGCTTTTCCCCATATGCTTTTAGGATGGAAATTGTGCTCATGAACAGAATGTGTTAGAAATGTCTACTTTATAAAAATCCTTACCCCATAGAAAAGTTAGAGTCCCCCCAACCTCAATTATCTAATTAAGATCATTATTTTCTACCTATATTGTGATCCCTGCTTCTCTGTGACTTTTGAACAATCTCTGATCAGGACTGCTGAAAGGGGAGAGTGATCTGTGCCTTTGGATCAATGAGTTGCAAAATTAAAACCTCCCTCCTTTCAATCCAGAGTGATTCTGTGTGTGTGACATGATTATCCTGGATATAATAAGAAAATGAAGGCAAGGGTTAGAAACCACTCATGCAGTCAGTCTTGGAAACCCTGATTTGTGCTTCCACTCTAATTTGGCTTGTTTGCCATCAACCACCTTATCAGATAAGCATATCTGATTGGCTGTGTAGCCCGTATTCAGCACATAATTTTTTGATTGCCTGATATACAAGAAAAAATTATTTATTTATTTTTTAAAGTAAGCAGTGGGAAAGTTGGGAAACAGCATCAGCAAATGTTACAGTGAATGAAGCTTTTCAAAAAGTTCTTTGTATCCCCCTCTTTTAAAAAAGCATCTTTGGCCTAAAAATTAAACCAAGCAGAACTTTGGCTTGTCCTCAAAAACTATGAATATAAATTTGGTTGGACTTTTAAAAAGTACTTTGCATGAATATTCGATTACATGAAATTTCTGATTAAATTACAAGATTAGTAAATTGGATTAATGCAGAGTTTTAAATGCTGCTTTGGCAATGAAAACAAAAGCTAAAGTGAAATGACCTAAAAACAGATTGGAAAATATGATATGTAGTCTTCCTATTTGGTTTTCAATGAAGTTGTGGCAATATATTATAAAATAAGAAGAGTTGATAATAAATGAAAACTTTAATGTTAAAATGTATTGGTATATTTTTCTGCAGAAATCTAAGTGGGGATTCTCAAAATGAATTATAATAAATAGATATGGTAAATCAAACAGACCCATTTCAAAATTATAATCCAGTCTGTGGGCAGAAGGAGAGTCGAGCTATCTGCTATTTTTGCTCCAAATTCTATACATTGTCTGATTCTGCTCCAATCTCCACCACAAGCTCCTAAACATAACTAAGGATCTAAGCCAGGGATGTCAATTTCATTGAGGGTGACATCAGGGTTGTATTTGACCTCAGGGGAGGGGCAGCGGGGCATGGCCAGCTCCAAGTCACTTTTGTTGGGGGAGCCTGTGGTGTCCTTAGCGCTCTGCCAGTGAAAACGGGCTCCTGAGCTCTGTTTCTGGCTGTAACGGCCTCCTGCAGCCCTCTGCCAGAGAAAACAGAGCTCGCGAGGGCCACGCACAACCCTCCTGAGCTCTGTTTTTGCTGGCACAGGCGCCGCGTGCTGGTCTTCCACTGTTTCCAGCCTGGCTCTGAAGGCCAGATCTAAGCACCCCATGGGCCAGATCTGGATCGTGGGCCTTGAGTTTGGCATCCCTGATCTAGGCAGATAATTATCAGAACAAACTGAAACCACGTTACCATTTCCCTTCTTTTGCCCCATTTTACCTCATTGCAGTTGGCGTCTTCTGCAGAAGTGTGTGGGGATTGACTCATAAGAGTAGCTTCAAAATTGGACAGGGAGGAGCATAGAATTGCTCCACAGAGTTAGATTTTCTTTATATCCAAGTTCTAACAAGGCTTCAGAGATCTGAGAGAGATCCATTTTCTTAACTGATATGAGAGAAATAAAAATGTCAACAACTCTGAAGCTGAAATGTATTTCAATCTCTGTTTTATATCCAGTGTTCTTGAAAACATGTCGGGAGATATACCATTAAACATCAATATCAAAGAGCCTCGCTGGGATCAAACCACATTTGTTGGACGCGCTAGCCACTTCTTCACTGTTACTGATCCTAGGAATATATTGCTACCCAATGAACAATTAGAAAAAGCAAAACAAATTGTGCACGATTACAGGTATGATTTGGGTTTCCTGCCCCCAGTTTTATTCCAGTTTCTCTAAATCAAGGGTCTTCAAACTTGGCAAGTTTAAAACTTGTGGTCTTCAACTCCCAGAATTTCTGAGCTAACCTGACTGGAGGAGGAATTCTGGGAGTTGAAGTCCACAAGTCTTAAAGCTGTCAGGTTTGAAGACCCCTGTTCCAGATGGCTAACATTATTCTAAGAATATTGTAATAAGGTCAGAGAAATCATTTGTCTAGGAAAAATTAGTCCTTTTGTAAGTTAAAAAAAATTACTTTTGGAATTCAGAAGTTAGGAGTTAATGCAACAATGAATTAGGAGAAAATTGGGAAATCGTGGCTATAAAAATGCTAATTTATCACATTGGAAGTATTTTGGAGTTTAAAAGGAAACACCAGTTATGGTAGTCATCAACTTATGGCCACAACTGAGTCCAAAATTTACGTTGCTAAACGAGAAATTTGTTAAGGGAGGTTTTCTCCATTTTATGACTTTTCTCACCACACTTGTTAAGTGAATCACTGCAGTTCTTAAATTAGTAACATGGTTATTAAGTGAATCTGGTTTCCTCATTGACTTTGCTTGTCAGAAGGTCACAAAAGAGGATTACATGACTGTGGGATGCTGCAACCGTCATAAATGTGAGTCAGTTGTTAAGCATAAGAATTCAAGTCAAGCAACCACGGGAAAGCTGTGCTGGTCATAAATCTGAAACTTGCTGCTGAAACTTCACACGGTCATTAAATAAACGGTTGTAAGTTGAGGATTACCTGTTTAGAGAGAAAACTGTATTTTCCTCCAATGGTTATGAAACCATGTAATTTTGATAGGTTTGAAAACAGCAGGCATAGATACAGAAAGAGTTACAAGAGTTTTTCCCATGGGGATTGATTTATACTTAAAAATACTCCTTAACCTTTGGAAATACCAGTAGTATTATATGAATAATTAAATATTTGTATATTTATCTGTTAATCATAAGGCAAGGCATTGTGGCCCCTGGGCTGACAGAAGATGAACTGTGGAGAGCAAAATATATCTATGATTCAGCCTTCCATCCAGACACAGGTGAAAAGATGGTTTTGATTGGCCGTATGTCTGCTCAGGTACCTATGAACATGACAATTACTGGCTTCATGATGACGTTTTATAGGTAAGTAATCTTAAATTACTGATAAATGGTAGTGAATGGAATAAAGAACTTTTTTAAGGCTTGGGTCTTAGAAAATGTCAGAGACATATGTTGAAGGGTCCATAAGGGTGCTAAAGGGAACACTTAGCCTTTTTACTAATGATTTCCTCATTTGTATTGATAAACAATTTTCTTTGGAATTAGTTATGGCACGACCTTCGGATGCTTCTGTCTTTTATCATGACATTTACAATGAGGTGTCCAGATTCCTGTCCTATTAGGAAAACTATTTAAAGCACCTAACAAAGGGAAATCAGGATGGATTGTTGACAGGTCTAGTCTAGGGATTGTTAATAGTGGCATCTCAATACATCTTCAGAATGTGTTATTTATCTGTGCCTATTTTGTGCTTTATACCTTTTTAATGGTAGGCATTTGTACTTCTGGGTGCATATCTGTTTATGTCCTGGATTTTATAACAACAACAACAAAAGGAATTATGTTTTCCTACTTCTGAGCATTTGAAATATAGTTAAATTTTGTCTGATAGCTTAATTTTCTATCAACTATTTCTAAGTGAATTGGAATAACAGTTAAAACTCTGTTACAGTAACAGAGAGGATGAATAAAACATTTTTCTTTCTTTGGAGCAATTCTGAAAGAACTTCCCAGAGGCCTTAGGCCATAGCTGGTTTCTCTTTTCATAAACAATAAAGGAGATGTGCCAGAGATTTTGCTGTGGTAGCCCAAATCTCTGCTGTGATCCTTTTCCTCAATTACCATTCTGAAAACATAAGAATGAGGATAATAGAGGCTTTGGGTCTTCAAAAATCCAAACACTCCCATCATTCTCCTGTCATGCTCCAGAACTGTTCTAAAAACTTACTGGATTTAGAGCTGAGGTAAAGGAGGAAATGCTTTATTAAAACTTTAGCAAGCAATGAAAAACATTCTGCCATTCCACCCTCAAAAAGTTACCACAGCTTGCATTTCTGACATTGGCTGTAGCAAACTAGGAAGGCACACTGTAGGAAATAGCAGACATATCTGGCCCCATAAGATAAGTGGTGGCTATATTCCAACTGTAACATTTTTCTTGAGGTGTGTATATTTCTGCACTTTGTGTAGGCAAACACCATTGTTCTGTGAAGTAATCCTTAGTTGTTTTGATAGTTCAGAATGAATTTGTTCAGCCCAAAATAATTTGATTCACTCTTGAGTTAATCTGATCCAAATTACATTTAAAGGATGAAATTTCATTATCATCTGGATAGATTTAATATAAATACACTACAGTATTTTATCTACTTTATCAGATTGAGCTCATATCAAACTTTATAAAAAAATTAATTGTCCTTTCCTTCTTCCAAGAACAACTCCAGCCGTGGTCTTCTGGCAATGGATTAATCAGTCCTTCAATGCCATTGTAAATTATACCAACAGGAGTGGAGATGCTCCAATTAATGTCAGGTAAAGCCATCAAGATGCACCAAGCAGATAATTCAAGTATGTTGAATAACATATGCACTCTAATTTGAAGCTAGGTCTAATATGAAGCTTAACACGAGCTGTGTAGAAAATATTGTGCCACTAGAATTGCTATGGATTTAAAAGTTGTTTCGAATTACTGTGATAGTATTGAGTCAGTATAGACCTGATGCTGCAGCTTTATTAATTTAATAGATTAATATTTAAAGAATCTCCCATAAAAATGAGAGAGAGAAAAGAGAAGCCATGGTAATTATCACCATGATACAGAAAGGAGGGTCAAAATCATTGTACATTTCAAGTTGTTTCAGATCTGCACACTACTGAGAATTGCATGCCCTGGAAAGATAGCTCTCTGCTTTTTCTGAATGGCTTTCAGCACTATAATGATAATGGATCATAAATTGCTTTGTTAAGATTATTATTAAATCTGCAATGTGGTCTTTCATAGAATGGCTTGACGTGACGACATATAAGCACAAGGTAAACTATAATGGGGTAAAATAGAAATGATGCTAACTTAATAACAGTAATATATAACAAGCATATAGTGCATTTAAAACATTTAAAGCCCTTCACGTAAATTATTATTAGCATAAAAAATGCTACTAGATGCATGACTGCCGAGTTATTCCTGTCTGGTACTAAACACAATTCCTTTGCATGTTGACCATCCCGCAAGATCATTTGCATTGTTAAAAAGACTAATTAGGTCACTAAACAATTCTAAGTCATTCGTTATGGATTTCAGCTGATGCGAATCAGAACACTTCAAAATGCCATGTGCAACTGACTGTTATAGTTTGTGATGTTCCTAACTTCAGCGAGAGTTTTGTAAATATTTGGTGATTTAAAAATATAAACTGGTGCCTGGGAAATATAGAAGTGGAATATAAAAGGAAATTGCTTAGAGATGTTAGACAAATAGGCAGGAGTTGCATTTAAATTTTGAACAGAGCAGCCTGGAGTGTATTGCTAGGAGCAATGATCTTCAGCAAGTCAAGGAACTATGCTTGAGCCAAGCATAGTTGGCTTCAGCAAGTCATCACCGCCATGTGTTTTTTTTTTCTTGGAATTAATGCCAAGTCAATATTGAAGGTAGAAAGCACAGACTGAAATATTTTTTCCTAAGCGCAGTCTAATCTTAAATAGGAGCACACCAATAGTGGGGTTCAAATTTTTTTACTGCCAGTTCTGTGGGCGTGGCTTAGTGGGCATGGCAGGGAAAAGATACTGTAAAATTTCCAGTTAGAGGTGGTATTTGCTGGTTCTCTAAACTGCTCAAAAATTCTACTACTGGTTCTCCAGAACTGTTTGGAACCTGCTGAATACCACCTCTGGAGCACACCTTGAGCATGCATTGGCCTTGCAGTATTGTAAGGCTAGTCTGTCTCTTTCAGCTGTTGTGAAAATATCTATTATATTAAATCACTTTATTGAAAGTACAGTAGGTTTAGATTACTTGAAGCCACTTTCTATAGAAGATATAGCCAAGTATTGATGCACAAGCTGCAGGCCACACTTGGCCTTTGAGTTACAAGCCAGGGGATACACTCCAAGGAGACAAGGCTAGAACAAATTATAATCTAAAATGGTTAAAATTGAATTATATAGTTATTATGTTAACACTCCTCTGAATAATTTCCTCCTTCTGCCACCTAAAAATTACAATTAGGAGCAAACTTTGGGTGAGTACTAGGTGTCCCAGCAAAGGTTTTTCGGGGCCTCACATAGCTCTGGGTCTCAAATTATACAGCTCTGGTGTAGCTGTCAGTTTGTGGCTTCCTGCCACTCTTGGGAAGGTTGGATATGAATTGTCAATCCAAAAATACTCCTTAGATGTTTCCTGGACTTAAACATTAGATTCCTGAGAATGGATCTGCTACAGAGCCATGACATTTTAAAGCTCAGTGTAGATATCTTTTTTTCTACAAGTGTTATAGTGAAATCTAGTCAGTAAAAAATTCCAATAAATGTAAGCAAGTAAGAAAAGCACAAATCTTAATACAGGAAAAGTAGATTCAAGCTTACTCACAGTCACAATAATTCACTGGGTAACTGAGCTTTACACAACCTTTCAGCCCAACCTACCCTATAGAGGAGTTGTTGTGAGACTAAAATAAAGGCACATATATCCCATTGTTTTGAAAGCCTTCACGATGTAGCATACTTACATAACTAATGAATAAAACAGCATTAAAAGATCAACTAATAATTTCAGGAGATCAAATCCAAGAGAAGTATGTGAATTAAATTCCAAAAGAGGAAAAATCAATACTAACTGGAAGAAAAATGTATTTTATAATTCAGAAGTAATGCACAAAAAGAAACATATCCAGCTGACCAATTCAGGAGAGCTACGGTATTAAAAGTGTTTATGCTGCACAGATTAGGCAGATTCATAATAAAACAAGTAAGTCCATTAAGATAAATCAGTGAAAGTAGCATATTTTTTAAGGGCAATATCCACATTCTCCATTGCTTTATCAGTCCTATTGTCCTTGAAAAAGGACTTTAGAAACATTTTGTTGCCCTAGTTTATCTTTTGGCAACATTTGTATTGCTGCCATAAAATAGGTTGCATTGTGCCAGATATGTGTATAGAATCAAAAACTGAGATTTAGAGCATGTGGTTCTTATACAGATACAAACACTCCTATTTTTATTTTAGCCAGCTGGGAACGGCCTATGTTTCTGCTACCACAGGTGCTGTTGCAACTGCTCTAGGATTGAATGCACTCACAAAGGTATTTCCATTATTCTCTCCTTGTTTGAGACTATCGTGTAGATTGTTGTGAAAATGTTATATAACATCTTTCATATGCTCGAGGTGAACCATATTCATATATACAAATATAAATAGTAAATAAGTGTGTCATCAGACACAACTCCTTAGAGAATACAATTTGTACTGAAAATATGTAAGCAGCTGGTGCCCATAAATACTGAGTACAGTTGGCTCTTGAAAGTTATGTTACATTTTTGAAATCCTCCTTCAAATTGCCCTGTAGAAAATCCTCATGATCTATGCAGGGTCTGTATCTTTCATGTCCACTTCATGAATTGGGTAAAAAGAATCTTTCCTGTGAGAAAAAAAAACCCACAAAGAATTCTGAGTAAAATTGTGACTCATTGATAGACCAAAGTAGCATAATTCTAAAATCTGTCACAAGGTACTGAATTTACAGTAACTGTTCACTGTTGCTTAAGTTCACTGTTGCTTCTGGGTTCATTGATAGTACAGTGTGTCTACTTTCAGAAAAATGCTGTGGGAGAAACTATCCTTAATTTCTTGTAAGGAAAAATATTTAAATACATTACTGAGAGACACTGTTACAACACATTCTCTGCTATTTTGATCTGCATTCTTCAGACAGCTGGTCATAAAATATTATTACTGTTAGACTTTTCACTGCTCTACTTCATGGCTTAAGTCAAAATTCTTAAATTAAAAAAAAAATTAACCAGGGTTAGCCATATTCAGGTGACTCTCTCTTCTCTTTCCACAGCATGTTTCACCACTTATAGGACGTTTTGTTCCTTTTGCTGCTGTAGCTGCTGCAAACTGTATTAATATCCCATTAATGAGGCAAAGGTAAGATAAACCTTCAGGGCTTCTTGGCAGCAGTTATCATAACTGCTTCCAATATAAACACACACACTAAACATGTTCGTATGAAATACGTCATTTTTAAGTTAAACGAAAAAGAATTTTGAAATGCTTGCCCCTACCTAATGCTTAGTTTCATTTTCTGTGGGAGGTATAACTCTCCAAGTTGCTTATGCAAGAGATTTTTTTTTTTCAAACTTTGGAAGCCAGGATGGTCTTGTCATTTAGATCTACCAGCAGCAATCGATCCAAGGAATGTACCTGTTTGCAAGGAACTGCTGCATGTGAGAAGTGGTGAAAGGGTATTCCAAAGCAACTTCACATAAACAGAAAACAATAAGGATTAAACATAGCAATAGCCCTTAGACTTATATACCACTTCAAAGGGCTTTACAGTCCTCTCAATGAGCAGTTTACACAGACAGCATATTGCCCCCAACAATCTGGGTCCTCATTTTACCCACCTCAGAAGGATGGAAGGCTGAGACAACCTTGAGCCTGGTGGGATTCGATCTGCCAAATTGTAGGCAGGTGGCTGTCAGCAGAAGTAGCTTGCACTCTAACCACTGTGCCTCTATATATAATATAATATCTAAAAGATACTCATGGCACTTTGCAAGGCACTAAAAACTGTTTTTTCCCATCTAGATTGGGCTCCTGATAGTATGGATAAACACATTTTGTGTGTGTGTGTATTCTCAGCTGTTACTTTATGCTAATTCTTTTGGTTTTAATTTCAAATGTTTTTGTTGTTATTGCTTTTTTATTTTAATTGTTAACTACACAGAATCATGTATGGGTGGACATATTACTTAGCTGTTAGTTCTGCTATTGAAATTTGAGGAACTGATTTTCAATGTATCAAATCTGTCTTATTGACTACAGGTAGTTCTCAACTTACCACCACAATTGAGCCCAAAATTTTTGTTGATAAATGAGAAGGTTGTTAAGTGAGTTTTGCCCTATTTTTGACCTTTCTTGCCACAGTTATTAAGTGAACTACTGAAGTTATTAAGTTAATAGCACCGTTGTTAAGTGAATCTGGTTTCCTCATTGACTTTGCTTGGCAGAAGGTCGCAAAAGGTGATTCCACAATCCTGGGGCAGTTGCCAAGGATCTGAATTTTGATCATGTGTCCATGAGGATGCTGCAATGTTTGTAAATGAGAAAATCAGTCATGAATCACTTTTTTCAGTGCCATTGTAACTTCAAATGGTCACTAAATGAATTGTTGTAAGTTGAGGACTACCTGTGTATCTAAAATCCATCTGCAATATCACAATGCACAAAGAAAAGAGGCTCGGCTTATGTCATGATGGTGTGATGCCAGTTTAGTCATTCTGCATATCCTATGGATGCTGCTGAATTTCACGTACTATAAGGAATGACTATCACTAAAAGTTCAGAAATGATTATCAAATATTAATTTAACCTTGAAAGGATATTGATATGAACATTTGGAGTCCTTTAAGAATGAAGCAATCATCTTCTTCAGCTCTTCTTTTTTGTTTTTTCTTTTACAACCCAACAGGGAACTAAAGTATGGTATTCCCATTACAGATGAAAATGGGAACAGACTGGGTGAATCATCCAAAGCTGCTCAACAGGCCATTGTACAAGTTGTGGTTTCAAGGATCCTCATGGCTGCTCCAGGAATGGGTGTGTCCCAACTTGTATTAAGTTTAATGCTGATATTCTAACAAGTCGTAAAAATTAGAACTACTTCTGATACCATTTTGCTTCCCTCAGGAAAGTAACAGATAGCTCAATAGCAGGTACACTAGTTCAGGGGAGTCAAACTCAAGGCCTGTGGGCTGGATCCAGCCTGCAATGTGGTCAGATCCAGCCTGCAAAGTCGTCCTGGTCTACCCAATGTAAAGAGGAAAGATCAAGCCAGCCCAGTCTAACCAGTGCAAAGAGGAAAGATCAGGCCAGTGTAGCTTCAGCCCAGTCTAACCAGTGTGAAGACAAAAGATCAGGCCAGCGTAGCTTCAGCCTGGTCTATCCAGTGCAAAGAGGAAACATGCCAGCAGTTTGGGGAGTGTTGTCAAATTGACCGTGCCCAACCAGTTGCTACACCGACTCAGCTCCCAACCACAGCCCTGATGAAATTGAGTTTGACACCCCTAGAGTAGACAGCTCTTATAAGAAACGTGTACATGTGTATTTCATTTTGATATATCAAAAATCACTGCTTTTAATCTTGATTAAGATTCGGATTTATAAAATAACAGAAAACACTTTGTCATTTGAAATATTAAAAAAGAACTTTGAAGAGTGGGGCCAGAAAGTAGTAGCCAAATATCAACAGGGTCAGTAATGATGTCTGCTTCTATGGATAGGCTATGTTTAAAGGATGTTAATGAAAGAATGACTGATGTGAAACATATCTTGCTTGATGAAAAAATAGAATCAGAAATATTGGGTTTTAAAAGTATGGATTATGAGAAAGAGAAAAGTGAAAGTGAAAATACTAGTGACAGGCCCAGTAGATGTCATGAATAAGGACTCTTTACTGGATATTCAAAGGAAGCGGCTGAATTTTAAAAAATTAAAGAAGAACTACAATTAGTAAACCAAGACCAAGTTCATGTCTCTTTATTAAATTTACAAAAGAGGCTAATTACAGCCTTGAAAAAGCCTATGCAGTTCTTCATTTTGAAAAAAAATTTGAAGAGATCAACTCTTATAACAATATTTGAATGTATTAGAGATTACATACATACCTATATCCCTCTGGATACATGTAATAAGAAGTTTGCTAGCTGGTAGTCTAATATTCCTAAAAGTCTGTTTAATTTCCAACATTTTAATTTGATAAGAATCCTCTGTATTGCTATCCACTATCTTTCATTTCTTTAAACCACGTATACTGATGGATGAGCCTTTCTGCAAACCCTCAGATTTATAATCAAAACATCATCGAAAATACACCACCCACAGATAAGGCAGCTCTCAAAATGTTCTTTTTTTTTCTTAAGGACATTATTTGTTTTCATATTTTTTACCAATAAATAGTATTTTCCAAACTAAATTCCATTTTAAATATTCACAATTGACTTATATTTAAGTAGCATAGTTTTCATGGAATTTTGGTTTGGCTTTAACCGAAAATATGTATGAGTAATTTTAAAAAGTATTGTCATATATAGTCACAGATAAGCCAAACCCAATTTGGGGTGCATTTGAAGCCTAACATTCTCAGCATAACCGCAAATGTATATTTATTTGCAAAAACATATTTTTCTCTCTATATGAGAGTTATTTATTTAAAAGATTGGTATAGGCATCCATCTTATGCAGCAAAAATCTGGACAACTCATAAACAATAATAAAACCTAAAAGACCTTTTTTAAAAACCCTGTAAGAAACATAAAAGCTAACATAAAAAACTTACTAGAGGTCCAAACACAACTCATCCCTAGACATCTAGAACAAACTTTGGAACTCCATTTTTAATGTTTGCTTAGCCCAAATCAATCAAGTGCAAGATGAAAGTGTGTTCTCTGAAAGATATGGACCATCATCTACCATGCTAGTCTAGTTAAGAATGGTAGGTGGACATTTTTCAACTCCAGTATAGAACTGAGAAGAATGATTGGCCCAAAATCTTCTAGATAGCATCCATGCATAAAGGAAGACTAGGTTTTCTCACTCTTAATCCTGTAGTTGTAACCATACTTGTGTTCCCATATTCATATATATCTACACAGAGAGATAGAGGGAGGGAGGGAGAGAAAGAGATAGAGCAAGACTTACTAACAATAGGTTATGGTTAGTAAATTCTAGGGATTAGATTTCTTATGTTATTGGAAGTTGCTCTAAGGATTTGCTAAATGTTCTATTCTATCTATTTATATGTTTGAAGAAATGTTTAACTTTTAAGTCACCTGTCAAAATATTTTTATTCTTAAAGTAGCATACAGCATAGCATGAAATTATTAAGCACAAAACTTTTGCTTGCTGTCTTTTAGCCATTCCCCCCTTCATAATGAATACTTTGGAAAAGAAGGCATTTTTAAAGGTAAGCCTATGTTCCTAAAGAGATTTCTTTCCTGATCCATTTTATTTTATTACATTTAAAAGATTTATCTGGTTGCCCATCTTAAATAATTCTGAGTGGTTCACAACAACAATACAACCAGTTTCTATAAAACAAACAAAAAACAATAAAATAGTAAATGATAGTGTCTGAAATATTACAAAATAGCCTCTCAGAAATACATGCTGCAGTAAAATCTATAATTATTTCCTCTCATTTTGGGGGGAACATCTTGTTCATGAACACATTCAAAAACATTGTAGCATTTTAATTATTCCATTGTGTAAATTAGATCTAGTCCATTCTTTTAATGAGCAGTAACAATTTTTTGTTTACTGTTATTGGATGGCAGCTAAAGTACAGGAGCTTTCCACCCCAAATAAAAAACCTGTATTTCAAATCTATTTTAAAGCTGATAAACTAAGTCGAAATTTGACTAAGATTAGATTGAACCTGATGTCATCTGCTATAAAATACTGAGCATATTGCTACTCAAAGAGTGAAATTTCTTCGTATTATCAGAAATTTCTTTGGGAAAAATAGTTGAAAGGAGAAAATTGCCTAAAATGCAATTGTTTCGTGAAAGAGGCATGAAATGTTCGGGCAGATTGGCTCAGCAGAACAATGGTCGACCACTCAGAGTGGCGCCTACACCCGGACCTGTTTAGGGAACTGTCGCACAGATTCGGGAGAGCAGTCCTGGATCTGTTTATGATGCCAGCAAATGCACAACTCCTGAGATTCTACTCAAGATTCCCAACACAGGGAATGGAAGGAACCAATGCACTCTGAGAAGAAGGGGTTTGCTACGCATTCCCCCCACTCCCCTTGATACCAAGGGTAATCAAGAAAGTGATAGAAGAGGGGGCGGAGGTCTTAATGGTAGCACCTCACTGGCCCAGGAGGTCTTGGTACGTGGATCTGGTAGATGTGTTGGTCTCTAGACCATGGAGAATTCCCCCAGACAAGGTAATACAGACACTCCAGGCATCCAGGAGACCATCAACCAACAGAATTTATGATGCTACTTGGAGAGCATTTGGAACCTGGTGTTCCAAGAAACAAATAGATCCAATCACAGTGTTAGTTACTCAAGTGCTGGATTTTCTCCAGGAAGGCCTGGAGAAGAGTTTAACCCCTAACTCCTTAAGGAGGCAGGTAGCAGCGATAGCTTCAGTGTTGGTTTGCAGGACCTCAGAGTTCCTCTCATGACAGCCCCTAATCTGCACATTCATCAGGGGACCAACCAATCTAAAGCCACCAGTGATACACAAGTACCCTACTTGGGACTTGACAAGGGTGCTAAGGGCACTCATGACTGAGCCCTTTGAACCGCTGAGGTCAGTAGGACTACCTTCACCCACCTTTAAGGTGGCCTTCCTAATAGCCATTACATCATCCAGAAGAATTTCAGGGGTGGCAGCATTATCCATGAGGGAGGACCTCTGTATAGATCACCTGAATAGGGAGTATTAAGATTAGACCCAACCTTTATCCCAAAGATCAATTCTATGCTCCATAGAGCACAAGAGTGAGTACTACCAGACTTCTGCCCAGAACCAGTCCATAGCCGAGAAAGGAAGTGGCACTCCTTGGATGTTAGGAGAGCTATACGCATTTATATTAAGAGAACAAGGCCCATTAAAAAAATGGAAGAGACTGAATTCTGAATTTAGAGTGAATTCGTTGGGACTAAGGGTTTCACCACCTACCATAGGCAGATGGATCAAGACATGTATCACAAAAGCTTATGAAAGCCAATTATTGCAATTGCTGGGTAACATAATGGCACATTCAACCAGGAGTGCAGCCACATCAGCGGCATGGAACACACAGGCCTCAATTGATGAGATCTGTAGGGCAGCAACGTGGTTGTCACCATCTCCATTCATCAGAAATTATAAACTGAATACATTTGCATCAGCGGAAGCATCCTTTGGAAGAAGAGTGCTACAAAGAGTTCACATGGAGATGGGGGCTCGGGACAAGGAGTTGGCCCACCCTCAGGACAATTAGCTTGGGTACGTCCCACGCTTTGGATTCTCCGATCCATACAACTGAGAAAGAGCGTTGGGCTTACCTGAAACGCATCTTCTACTTGTACGGGAGGAGAATCCAAATCCCACCCTTAGATAGTTAGTCCTCAGAACGGTCAAGAACGAGCACCAAACAACTCTCCAAGTCAATCATCAGCCTTCATCAAAAACTGTGCATGTGCAGTGGAAAGGAGGCTGGACTAAACTTTGATTGACTCCGTCTTTAAGCAAGGAAGCAGGAGTCAGCCACGCTTTCGATTCTCCTCCCGTACAACTAGAAGATGCGTTTCAGGTAAGCCCAACGCTCCTTCTGGAGAAGATGAATATAGATTAACTATACAAAAAGTATTAATAAGGATTATCAGGGAATGTTTTAAACATTAAAGCATTTTAAAATTTATCAAAAGCAGCTGTAAAATATCCTTATTTATTGTTATTATTACTGACAATAAGTACAGGAATGCAGTAATTCATTCAATGGTAATGCTAAATACCTGAAGTATTTCTATCTTCAGAAGAGCTGCCAAACATTTCCTTTTAGTTCCAGATTCACAATGTTCCATATTTTTTACATTTCTAGTTATTAGAAGATAACACAAACGTGTGCTGTAAGAAATAATAAAAAGATGATATTGCCATGTCCAGTGAAGACTTCATTGCTTATTGTGGAATTTAATTAGGCATTCTAATTTAGCAGCTTTTACATCTGAACGAACCCATTAGTGACTGTTACATTTCTTTTGACGCACTCTTAACTCTCTTTATGATTTTCTGGTCCTCCTCCTCCCTTGTCCCTTCTCTGCTTCATTGGCTATAAATTCAGGTGAATCATTAGTCTTCAGTTAGTTAATCATAAGACTTGATATCGATCAGTTCTAAATCCATTGAGCAACAGACTGCCTTTTTTAACAAGCTGCTTGGGCAAGCTCATTACTTGTGTCTATTGTTAACAAGCCAGTTAGTTCATTGAAGCATTATGGTCTTCATTTAATATGTTTCCATTACTTAATCATTAACCCCTGAAAAACTAGAACAGTTCATCCTTTGAAAAAAGGCAAGGATTATGTATTAAAATGCATTTCTAGAACCCCCATCACAGAGATAACATCTTTCCTCTTGTGACTTTGAGAATTCCAGCAATTCTTCATGCATTTCTTCATTGTGAACCTCACTGAGTATAAATTTGCTAAAGCTCCCCAAATATAAATTTCAGCAGAATGACACTAATACCATATTGTTCACTAATACCATATTGTTATTTTTGAATCAGAAAGTGTATTTGTTTTTTAAGTGGCCTGAATAGTTTAACTAAAGGTAAGTTTAATCTTAGAAGTCTATGGAGATTCTCAGTCATCCAGATCAGGTTGTCCCAAAAGTGCTTTTTTTCCTATTTTCCTAAGAGGCAACTACACCTTCTGATTTTCCTTTGAAGACATTTTGCTTCTCATCCAAGAAGTCTCTTCTGCTCAGAGCTGAAGAAGCTTCTTGGATGAGAAGTGAAACATCTTCAAAGAAAAACCAGAAAGTCCAGTTGCTATTTAATCTTAGAAGTTTAATCTTACATCTATTGATTATTAACTTACTTTGGGGAATGAGTTCCCTACATTTTCTATATAGGAAATGAATGCACATAATTCGTATTTTTGGAACTTTCTTTGAAATATTTTTAAAACAAAAGCATTGAGGAACACTAGTAAAATCAGAGTGTATAATTCTGACAACCATTTCCTCCTGATGGACCCATTCTACTTTTTTTTTTCTTGTTGCTTCTTTAGCAACAAGAAGAATTGCAAAGTTAAATGAAGCTGACTTTTTTCCCTTGGATTTTTATATTATCCAGAAGATATAGGAGTTATTGTATCTTTCACATTTAATGTCTGAAAAATGTAAACATTATTCATGCCAAGTTTACTCCTTAATTGTTTCCTCCTTAATTTACTCCTTAATTGGGAAGGCAAGAAGAATAATCAGGGGACTTGAAGGAAACCTTCTGAAGGAATATGAAGTAATTCAGTATGTTATACCTTGAGTAAAGATGATTGTGGGGGAATGTTATAGCTGTCTTCAAGTATCTGATAGGATGTTATATAAAATATAAAGAAGTCCAGAATGCAAGACACAGAAGAATGGATTTAATTTACAAGAAAGCAGATTCTATTGAAATGTTGGCAAAAACAGTTATAGAAAGTAGACACTGGAACCAAATGTATGAAATAATTGAGATAATTCTCTGCCTCCAAGCACCAGGCATCACTACATCAATGACATCTCCATTACAGCCTGGGTAGCAATATACCATTATAGACATTATCAATCTTACCCCAGCATTTTGTCAGCAAGATGTTATACAGATGAGCTATAGGTCAGGTGCAGGAATCTCAAGAGCTCTCTCAATAAGAAGTTGGTAACCCTAAAAAAGAATGCTGAATAACATCCCATGGATGTAATAAAGGAGGAAAAATAAACGTTTATCAACAACATGTGGCATGTACCCAAGCTTGATAATAATTTTGTTTTTTCTTCCACCGGTGTTCCAGGAATAATTTCTGGATGTTGATTTCTCAGAAAGCCTTAGTGAACTAAGGTGCCCCCTGGGATTAGCTCCCAGGAAGAAACAATTCAAGGGTAGTAATATCTACAGTCTCATTCACCTCCAATGGTCAGTTGATCATCAGGCACCAAACAGAGCTGCCCACCAGAACCCTGGGAAATTCCCTTTGAATCTGCCCCAGGATTCATTAGGTGCCTGGCATGGACTATCCCAAAAAAGTCTTGTGTGCCTGTTTACACTCTTATAAACCTTCCTCCTAACTTCTTGTAAATCTCTTGTCAATGTAAATCCAAATATTAATTTTCTTATTGCTATTTATCCCAGCAATGAAGTCATCATTCCAGAGCAGCAAAGAGAGGAAAAGGAAAGGTTCTAGGAGGCTATTGTTGCAACATCCACAATTTTTTTTGTATCAAAATGTAATAAAATATTGCAAGATCCAATATATTTGACTTCATTCATAATAAAATATTCTCAGTTAAGCCTTCATTCTTCCTATATTTTTGTATCATTTAAAGTTTGTATCCAATAACTATGTACATAAATTCAGAATGAACCTATCATTTTGCTTCTTTTTTTTAACAGAGGTTCCCATGGATGAGTGCCCCCATTCAAGTAGGATTAGTGGGTTTCTGGTGAGTAAAAATTTCAGAGGTGACCTGTTTGTATTTCTCATGCTGATGTTCACTTTTGTGTCATTAGTCCAGTTTATCCTTGACTTTGTTACCTTGAGGAAGTTTAAGATTTTAAGGCAAGCCATATCAAGAAAGCAATAGGAAGAGCATTTACTAAACCAGCTACTGAGAGCCGGACCAAAACCATGAATGGAACTTAAATGTATATTTGACTTCATCTAGGCTGAAGATGTTTGAAAAGGGGAGGAAACTTCACAGTGTTCACAGCAAGAGGTTAAAATCTGCTAAATAGGCAGTGCAACACCAGAGTCCAAGGCCTTTCCTTGCTTTTCTCAGATTGGGATGCTAGATTTTGATTGTGGGAGGGAAGAAATGATGGCCTACTGGAGGCAGGAAGTCTTAGTCTTAATTAGCTTTTGTACAAATTAAAAACTAAAAATTTCCAGCCCTTCCTTCTGAAACAGAAATTTACCCCTAAATCCAAGTTAGTTCTTTGCATTATCATTCTGCAGCTGTCAACTCCTGTCTTCATCAAATACAGCAATGTTGCTCCAGCACAAACTTGCTGCAGGGAAACAAAAGGTTTTGTGAAAAGTGAGAAATTGCAAAATAGCAACAACAACAACAACATAAAAAGACTTACAAATAAAAATAGAACGACTGTGGTAAAGGCAAGCAAGGGTAGTACCAATAGTAATAGGGGCCTTGGGTGCAATCCCAAAACAACTGGAGCACCACTTGAACACCATAGGCATTGACAAATTTGCCATCACTCAATTGCAGAAGGCAGCTTTACTTGGAACAGCTTCCATCCTGCCACAATATCTGTAACACCATCAAACATCCAGATTTGCCTATCTTAGGTCCTTGTTCAAGACTCAATAGATAGGCAAAATGCTAAACCCAATCTGATTGCATAATATTGCCAGATGGAGATTCTCTATGTTCTGTAGGGTTTCATAAATATCTATTTTGAGTATTTGATTTAGATATACCTTTGAGGTTCTTTCCAATTCCAAATTTAAAATTCTTTACTGTGGTCTTTGTTTTTCCCATACATGGGTAGTACACCTTTGAAGTTTGTTTGAATCTTAGAAATCTTAAGGGAGTACCTTGGTGGATATAAACAGCACCCAGCACATGACTCCTTCTGAATCCTTTTGGCATCTGACTAACCACTGCTATGGAATCTCTGCAGTTTGTGAAGTTCTCAATGCTTTCTAAGTTTGCTTGTTTGCTTGCAGACATTTCATGTCTTACCTAACTACATCATCATCCCTGTGGTTCGTTTATAAATGCCACAATGATAGCACATCTGTTCTAAGAATTTGTTTAATAGGATTATTTCTTTTCTGTACTAGCTCTGTTTTGTGATCTTGTGATTAAGACACAGGTTAGAAAGCAGAAGACTGTAGTTCAAATCCTGATTTAGCCATGAAAGCTGGCTTGGTGATCTTGGGCCAGTCATTCTTTCTCAGTCCAACTCACCTCACAGGGTTGTTGTTATGGGGAAACTAGGAGAAGAAAAATATGTTGAATATATTTGCCACCTTGAGGTTTATTTTTTATTTTTTATTTGAAAAAAATAACATGATACAAATAAATCAATACTTTCTGCCTCAATCATAATAATCTTGGGGCTATAAATATCTGGTCCAGGTATGCTAGAGAGAGACAGCATGGTTTGCTAAGAAACAGCTAAACATAATCATGATGTTTTGATAACTGATTTAATGAGTAAAAGTATATTAACCCAATTTATTCTTCACCACCAACCATGACTAAGTTCTATTGATTTATTGGTGAAAGCCAAAGGTAGAATCAAGGTTTTGTTAAGAATGGTTTATTTGGTGCCTCAACTGACTAAATCACAGATACTGTATAGCAACTGTTTGTTACAGTTCTCAAGAAGTGTCCATATCAATCCTATTTAGTGTCTTCTCATACCCATTTCTGGTCTATGACAATCAGCCTTTCAGACGGGCTCTGCTTGGTTCCTGGGCAAAAAGCATTGCCTTTACACAATAGAACCATGGATGTCATGGTTTAAATTATTGTGATCCTCTCCCTCCAACAATGAGGGGTGTGATTTGCTTATATTGCCTGGCAAGATGCCTATTTTCATAGATTGCTAGTACAATTGCTGCCCCTGTCCCTACTTTATAATGAATAATTTTACACACCTGTTTTTCATTGTGCCGTCCTTTTTAGCAATCATCAAATTTTATTCTTACACAGCTAAACAACAGTACCATTTTCAGATCCGCAGCCATGCTAACAACTTAGGGATATATCTGGCATTTCAAATTCCCCATCCAAAATTACGCTATTTTTTTTCCCTCCCACTTTTGTTCAACATTATTGATCTTCCATCTTCAAAGGAATTCAACCTTTGAAAAAAAAAGTTTTTTCTTTGATCACTTTATGAAAGCAAACTTTCCTCCAGGTCATAAGTTACCTATTAACCCACGTGTGTAAATCACAAGGATCACATGAAGAATTTCACACAATCTGACCTGCCACCCTACTTGGTGCCAGCTTCAGGAAGAGTGCTTGGCCCCCTCGACGAACCATTTTGTACAGATATTTCACAAGCAAATAAATAAATCGTGTGTGTGAATTCAGAGATGGAAATGAACTGCTAGAGTTAAGTAACCAGTTCTTATGACATTTGAATTAGTGTTCGTGTGCTAACGTGATAAACTCTTATTTCAAGAAGCCAAAGTTGATTCCACTTAAAATTATCCAAACTTTGAGTACATTAAAAAATACTAACTTTTGTCTTTTCCAGCTTGGTGTTCGCAACACCTCTGTGCTGTGCATTATTTCCACAGAAAAGGTATAGTTGCTTCTTTACTACTTTTTTACAGTGAGAGATATTATGCCGTGCAGACTATGAAAATGAGAAAATGTATTTATTGCTTTCCAAAAACTTCACAATTCATTCAACAGTCATGTTCCTCACCTCTGGGGAATACAAGTACTCTTAATTTCCAATGACCTGCCCAAATTTAGACCATGGTTTTTAAGAGTCATGGTGGCACAGTGGTTAGAATACAGTACTGCAGGCTACTTGTGCTGACTGCCGGCTGCCTGCAATTTGGCTGTTCAAATCTCACCAGGCTCAAGGTTGACTCAGTCTTCCATCCTTCTGAGGTTGGTAAAATGAGGACCCTGATTGTTGGGGGCAATATGCTGACTCTTTAAGCCGCTTAGGGAGGACTGTAAAGCACTATGAAACGGGATGTAAGTCTAAGTGCTGTTGCTATTTTTCAGTCCTAAATACACATTTTTCCATTTGTCCTTTTTCTATAACTTTATAACTTATAATAAAACCTTGGTTACTCAAGTAGCAAATCTGTCTTTTGCTCTGGCCTTCATACCTTCCTCCATTTCTCTGGTCATGACAAAGAGACATTCCATAAGTTATCTTTTATAACCTGAATGTAAGAAACACAAGAAGAATAAGTTTGAATGTAAGGAACACAAGAAGAATAAGCTATAAGTTTGCTCTACCCATAGCTTTTCCAGAGGTTATTTTCGGATCCTGATTTTATATATCATATATCATAAACTTTATATTAATTTTAGCTAGGAAGGCCAGCAATATCACCCATAGAGACTTCCAATGGAAGAGAATACTTGGAGTTCAGGGTTGAACTGTGGGATCCTTGGTGCTCTGAACTTGGTTGTTTTCTTGCTGACATGTTATTACCCAACTAGTTAACATCATCAGGGAGGGAGATTTGCACAGCCCTTATTTATGTATTTATTCATTTATTTATTCTTCATATTTCTTAACTGCCCATCTCCTTTGGAGAAGGGCTGTGGGTAGTGTACAATATCATCAATAATATGAAAAATTAAAATCCAAGTAATTTAGAAATAAAAGTTTTAAAATTATAAAAACTACATTTTAAAAATTTCAGAATGTTCAAGTTTCAGAAAGTTCAAAATGCAGTAGCTCACACAGTTTTTCACAAGCCTGAATTGCATCTCTTTTGTGGGAGCTGCACTGGTTGCCAACATGCTTGCAGGTGCAGTCAAGGTGCTGGTTACCACCTTTAAACCCTACATGGCTTGCGAACTGGGTTATTTGAAGGACCGCCTCTCCCCAGTTACATCTACATTGCACAGCAGGAAGTAGATATGATGGGACCTTCTCACTGATGGAATATGGAATATCGTCACTCCAGAGATATATTGGCTGCCACACTTTTTCTAGAAGCTCCTAAAAATTTAGTTCTGTCAGCAAGCCTGGGGCCACCACCAGACTGCTATGGGGCTGATAAAGTGGCAAGTCTGATTGTATTAGATGCCCATCATGGATGTTTGTCATGGATGGTTAATGCTGTAAATCTAAATTAGGCAGCCATATACATTTGTTTAAAAATAAATATACTATGTTGATTATATTATGACATCCTAGGTTCTTGGAAAGAATTCCCTGTATGAAGAACCTGAAGACCAGCAACAGCTAGAGAACTGGCAGCTGTGATTTCACATTGTTGTATATATAATAGTAATAGTACACTATGGTAGATAGCTGAGTAGTTTTTGAAATAGTATTTTTTTAGAAAATATCACCAGTAGATGGTGCTGTGATACTGAGTGCCATAATTCCATCTACTGTACTGATAGAACACATGCTGCAATTTTTCTTTTCTTTTGAAACAGAACATGTCATAACACAACAAACTAGAACTGGCAGTAAGCAAGTAAAATGGAAAAAAATAGAATTAAACATCCAGGAAAGGAAGAAGAAAGCTATTAGGATGAATTGGAGAGAAAGTTTAGATAGCATGTTGACGTAAAAGGCTTGGGAAGAGTCAGATGGAGAGAGAGAAAAAATGGAAAAAAGCACATTAGAAAAAAAAGGCATGTCAGAGAGTTATTGGGGTGGGGGGGAATGACTGGAGAAAATGGAAAATGCAGCCAATGGAGAAAAACTTGGCAAAATCCCTTGCAGGAGGAATAGCATCAAGAATAGATAGAGGGTCAGCAGCAAGCAGAGGAAGAATAATGAAAGGGTAGATCAGTTTGGGGAGGAAAGAGAGTGGAGACATTTTCAGTAAGAAAGATAATTGGTGAAAGCCTCAGCAGGAGGGGAGGCAGGAGAAAGAATTGGGAGAAAGGAATTGGGGTGGGAATTGGAGGAGCACAAACTGTTCATAATGGCAAAACAGGAGATAAAAATTGGTGTCACCAGCTGCAGCAGATTTTTCTGCCTGACTGCATGCAATCTGGAGGCCAACACCCTTTCTGCACTTGGAGGGGCTCCTCCCATAAATAAAACCATTCTCCACTGTGCTGCTTTTGTATCCCAGAAAAGGGGACTTCATGCTTCTGGGATGTCCCTTTGTTTATACCAGAATGGAGATTCATGAGAAAATCCTTTTTTCCCTTCCTTTTCTTTTTCAGCTATCAGGTGAAGCAACCTTCTCCTCACCCACTCCAAATTCTGTACATTTTAAAACCTTGAGAGAGGAATTGGAGGTTGTGAGAAAAATCAACTTGGTCAAATACCAAACCAAACCCAAAAAATTAAAGATTGACTCTGTTCAACCTCAGAATAGAAATATCTCTCATATCAGTTCTAATAACTTTTATTTGTAGAAGGGGAGACAAATACAGTACCTAAGAATACATTTTAAAGGCCTCGTATAATACATGATCTGCTAGCTCAGCTTTCACATACAAGGGAAATCATAATGGTTTGTTCTGATACATTAAGATGCCATATCATATAAAATTATATGAAGATAACTTAGCAAAATAGCATATGAAATATCTTTTCTGTAACTCATTCTGATAATATTGAAGAAAATATTAATTGGAAAACAGTAACTATTGCGCCATATTTTAAAGGATTATAAAATGTAAGATATTTCCTGGGGCATATGACATAGAGTAAACAAATGGATTAAGACTTCTTGATCATGGATAATATGTTATGTCTTTGTTATTTTTTCTTCCTAGTTCCATGTCCGTAACTCGTCTGGAGCCAGAATTACAAGCTAAGATCAAAGAAATGAGTCCAGAATTGGATCGGGTATATTTTAACAAAGGATTATGATTTATAGAAGACAACTAGGGTGATTTGTCCTACAATTATAGCTAGATGAACTTATTTTAATTGAATCTACTTAGTTGAAGCAATGCAGTCCTGAGGCATTCTTTCAATTATTGTATAATATTGAACACTGAGATTATTTAAATATCATGAGGAAATTTTCATAATTATGGTTGAAAATTCTGACAATTGTCCAATTCAGCTGCAAATATTCAAAATGGTTTACATTAAGAATTACTTATCAGTCAAAATTTTAATTCCTTTGGAAAGTGTAACAACTTCAAGGAAATCAGACAGTGTTATCTTAAAGTAATGACCTACCTTATTTTTTTCCCACTAAAAGAAAGTCAATAACAAATTCATTTCCGCTATTACATTTGAAAATACAGTTCAGATGACAATTATCTATCCAATGATTTCTTCAGAACCCCAGAGAGTTAACTTTGTGGTATCCCCTTGACATATAGATCTTAGATTTTCTTATTTCACTTATCTAATGTTTGAATGGGGAAATAATTATGATAGGTGAGAGGGAAAGATATCGGTGCTGCAGAAATTTGAAGCTTATTTATTAGTTGACTCCTGCACTTCTAACATAAAAAACCTCTATGAAATTAGATAAACTCTGCTTGGAGAAACTTCTACTTAGAATATCCTCGGTTTACTAAAATAAAATAAGGTCACTAAGCCAGGAGTTCCCAAACTTTCTTAATTCACAGCATCCTTGGTGTCTCGGTAATTTTTTTCACAGTGCTTCTGGTAGTTCCCAAATCATGTTCAGGTAGTCCTCAGTTTACAACCATTCATTAGGGACTGCTCAAAGTTACAACCACGCTGGAAAAAAGTGATTTATGACCGTTTTTCCACACTTCTGATGTGATTTGTCACGTGATCAAAGTTTGGACACTTCACAACCGATTCCTATTTATGGTTGCAGTGTCTCAATGCCATCTGCAACCATCTGACAAGCAAAGTCAATGGGGAAGCCAGATTCCCTTAACAACCGTGTTGCTAACTTAACAACTGTAGTGATTTATGTAACTGGCAGGACAGGTTGTAAAATGGGGCAAACCCATTTAACAACTGTCTTGTTTAGCAGTGGAAATTCTGGGCTCAACTGTGGTCATAAGTCGAGGATTACTTTTTTAGGTAGTCCTCGACTTGCAACCATTCATTTAGTGACAGAGTTGCAAGAGCATTGAAAAACGAACTTATGCTTTTCCTACTTACGACCATTGCAGAGTCCCCAGGATCACATGATCAAAATTTGGATGCTTGGCAACTGATTCATATTTATGACGGTTGAAGTGTCCTGGGGGTCACATGATTTGGTGACCTTCTGACCAGCAGAGTCAATGGGGAAGCCAGATTCAATTAACTGCCATGTTTCTCATTGAACAGCTGCAGTAATTCACTTTAACAACTGTGACAGGACAAGTCGTACAATGGGGCAGAACTCACTTAACAAATGCTTCACATAGCAACCTAAGTTTTGGGCTCAATTGTGGTTGTAAGGTGAGAACTAACTGGTACTGTGGCACCTGGCTCAGTTTTTAATGAGTAGATAATCCCATGGTGTTGTTTCTTAAGTAATAAAACATCCGTGTATTAATTGGTTAGCAAAATACCCCCATGGTGCCCTGTGAATGCACTGCCATGCTTTGGGGTGCCATGGTGCACTGTTTAGGAACCATGGCACTAAGCCATAAAATAAGCACTGAGAATATCTGCTACAAATGATCTTGTAAGTCAAGTCTTGAAGCCTATCCAAATGTTAAGCAAGGCATTCTCCTGTCAGGACAATACTACCTCCCCATGTATGATGCATCATCATGAAGATGGCATTTATGAACATGCCCTGCACATACAAAGCCAAAAAAGAAACCCTTGTTAATTCTCCTAGTTTAAGAAAATGCGTTCTTGGTTAACATTTTAATCAGCTTTGCATCCAGCAGCAATGGGCAGGAATATCCTATGAATTCATATGAATTCTCAGTCATTGTGCACTCATGGGTAACTGGTGACATTGGCCAAATTCTGCAAAACCTCAAGCTGTTGAATTTATACTTTTTACCAATACATTTCTGTGATCTTATCTATGATGTTTCCCCAGAAATGAATAGTACATATTATAAGATCATGTTCTTGTATTTGATGATTCTCAAATTCCTGTGATAGTCTGTTAAATACACAGAAACACGAGATGGCTAAATACTATTTTCAGAATGTGCTGCTTTATCTTATTTTTTATTCCCAAAGGAGGTGCTATACATCAGTTTTTAAAAAACATTGGCAAAACATGTATTTATAGCATTTTTAATCAATTTCCTACTTGATTTCTGCTAGTTAATATGCTTTGCTATATACTGTAGCTATAGTACAACAATCCTGTGCAGTAGGGTGCTATGTTTCTCATTATAAAGACACAAGAAAACAGATAATAAAATAGTGACTTTTTTAAAGTCACCCGGAAAGTCTAATACTGAGTTGAACCAAAGTCTTGATGCAAAGTTGATTGAAACATTTTAATTATTCATTTGTCACAAATTCTGAAAATTATTTCTCTGAATGTTTCCACTTGAATTTCAGCATGCCTGATAAATCATAGATTAATGGTATTTATTATTTAATGTACGTTCTCCCATGTGTAATATCACATTGGAGACCTTTGTTCTTGTATGACTAGATCTAGTTCTGTACTCAGTGAAATTGCTATTCAGGATAAACTTTGGCCTTTGTATATATCCAAAATAGTACACTATACACAGTAGACCACTCGTAGCATAGCTAATACCCAGATGTATTAGACAGAATATAATCTATTATTATTATTATTATAAAACATTGAAATGTGCCATATAACAGAAGTTTACTTAGTGGCAGATGATTCTTAACTTGGAATGGAAAGGAAAAAAATAAATGTTTTATTTGAACACCTACTTTACAAAGCCACCTAAGCATTTATATTTACAGCTGGTAGTTTATCTTGAGTTCCTCAAGGTAAAATAAAGAACAGGGTAGCATAGCATTGTCTAATTTTCCACACAAATCATAGTCACAGGAAAATTAGCTAACTGGGTATATTGTTCATGTCAGATTAAGATGAGACTATTAGCTAATTATTAATAGCTATTAGCTAGTCCTGTTTAAGTATTCGTTATGTTCTCTAAATATTCTGTTCTGCTGGTGGTTCTTCTAACAAATGTGAAAAGGATTTCCTGAATTCAAAGAAACTGTCTCCAAGACAAATTTGTTTATAAGCTTGGTTGCTGTTTTTAAAGACTTCTATGTCTCCTCATACAGCTCTGGATTTTGTACTGCCTGTTTAGGCTACATCCAGAACATTTGCACTTTCCAGTCCATGTCACGCTCTGATATGAGTGGCATGCATGAAAAATATTAAAGATCACTTGCCTTTAAACAAGAAATATTGTGCGTGTGATGGGGAAAGGAAGGGAAATTTTGCAGCCTGAAGACTGTGCTACCTACCTGTACTTTGATCTCAGAGATTTCTGCTACTGCAGATATCAATTTTACAACCATCTGATTATATCATACCTACTCAGCAATTGGATCCCATTTTGTTTAGAAGGGGTTGATTTCTTCATCAAGAGGTGTAAGCTGCAATTATTGACCTTGCTTCCTTAGCAAAATAATGGCAATAATTATTTTTGAAATGTGAACTTTAGTTAATTGCTAGTAATTATAGTTCACAAGTAAAGAAACTACAGGAAGGAGATTAATGATACAGTCATCTGTTTAAGGGCTGGATTTTTATTTTTGAGAGAGAGATTTCTGCAACGGTTCAGGAGATGTGTTTTGTTGATATCACTTGAAAATATGTCATGTGACTTCAGTGTGCTTAGAAAAACTGGGTATTCGCGTGTGGCATGCTTAAAATAATATAGAGCACAACAATCTTTACTTGTGTATTTTGTTTCTAGGATGAAAAAACATTATTTTATTCCTGGAACACACATATTTAAAACAAATTAAGTATCAAAGGGTTTTGTTCATTTTTTAAGCAGGAAAACTACATTTTTTTTCTTTGTAATGTTTAGCAGAACAAAATAATATTAGTATCAGGAAATTTATACTGATCTAGTAGAAATGTTTTTTTTAATATTTCCAATGAAGTGCAATAAAGATACAGAATTAATTAAAAGAGTAACTATTAATCTTGTCCAATTTTAGAAAAAGAATCTGGATTATACTGTGATTTGCATACTTTTTCAATACAAGTATTAGCACAACATCTTGCCAGAATTGGTGGTATTGCTTAAAATCAGTTGGATGAGATATTAAAATTGATAATTAAAATGTCATGCTCTCTGTGTGAAATGTACTTTCTGTAAACTTTGTATTTGAATATGAATACATAAGAATGAGATACATGGATTATAAAGGTATACATGAAAATCAATTGCAGGCTTTCTCCTTAGCTGTAAAAAGAAAAAATCTGCAATTTATACATATTTGAAATTGAAATATAATACTGTATCATCTGACAGATAGCATACAGATCAGTATGTCCATTAGAGAAGCATCATTCTTTGGTTTGGAATTTCCCACATCACTCAGCTGCAGTTCTAATTTTCCATGTATTTTTCCTACAGAAATAATGTAGTTACTTTTCTTTCTGGAAAGATCATGCTTTTGGATAAAACAGTGGATTAAAATTATGGAACTTGATTGGTCAACATTAACTTTCTAAGCAGCAGAATCTGTAATTCAGGGTGGAGTGACCTGAAGCTCTAATATGATATGAAGCCCTCAGTACACGTTCAAAAGTTCTTTTTAAGTTATTAGCAAAATCGGTGATATTTAATCTTTCTAAACATTCTATCAAAAAACATTTACATCTAGATATAAAATTCTTTTTTCAGAGTAATATTTGTACAACTATGGACAATCTGTTACTATTTTTGTCATTTAGTAAAAATTCCCAAGATAGTGTATCAGCCTTGAGTTCTGGATCTCATTTGTGCTACATGTATTATTGGGAAATGCTAGGAAAAACTAATCTGTCTCTTTCCTAGCAATTGCTATGTAAGGAGTATGATTACACCATTTACCCAGGAAAAAAAATTCTCTGTGCCAGGTACACCGTAATTCATGATAAACCAATTTTAAGATGTGCATGTGTGCAGGAGGAAGGATGGTTAGGAAGAAATTCATTTATTCTATTCATAATTTGTAAGGAAAACAAATTACACATTTGGAAAGGAATCACTGTGAGATGAAGAGCCAAGCTGATGTATCATGCGTTTTTCCCCAATGCTGGTCCAGTGTTTCCCTTTGGAGAGCATTGGAGGCTCTCCAAAGGGGAAACACTGGAGGTGTTATTGAGGAAGAACACTAGATGGCAGTATTTTCCACAGCACAAGCGTCCCACAAAACTCTTTTATGGCTTTTTTTATTTCTGATTTCCCCAATTACTTAAGGAAATAATTCAGAGTTCTTTCTTCTAATTCTGAATGCCTGATTCCTTCAGCCAACATATGGACTCAAGGTGAAAACAAATGCAGCATCAAGACCTTTTTTCCATAATTTTAGCATAAGAAACATCCTGCCCCATGCATTTATTTATACTTTGTAACTTTACAGTATAACTATGGAGGATTTGACTGTGGACCTGAATTTACCATCTTAAGGATTAAAAAAAACTGGCTAACATAATAAGGAAGATTGGAGGATTGAAACAAATGAAAATTGAAAGCTTGAATGTTGTTATAGTCAGCAGTTAGTTTGAGTTCTTCCTTTTTTAAAAAACATATTTTTATTGTTTACAACTATAAATATCAAACACAGTGCGACTGTTCTGGCATCATTCTGCCATACACACAAAGATATTACTGAACCATTAACATTCATATTAGTATATTCACAATCTAAGTCTATTTGTCCTAACTATTTTTGTTCCGACCTTTCCCTCTCTTCTGCAATCATTGATAAAACTTATTCC